GTAAAAGGATTAACTCTACCTCATGTTTTCCTGATAGTTGTCGTGAGTTGCTTTCAATGGTTGAGACTCCCAGTGACTGTTGAGGCTTCACATATATACTGATAGATTTCTCCTACTAGCAAAGTTTCATGTTGGTAATTTACATCTGCTGCTGCTTGTCCTTTCCTCATAAGCACAGGGAAGACTGTCCCCTTTTCGCTTTGCATCAGCCCTTGCTGTGTTGGAAGTCTGTTATCATTAGCTCTTCATAAGATGCTGTCTGCAGTATACCAATCTTAATCAGGTAAATTGAAAACAGTAGAGCCTCCTGGGTACCCGTTCTTATGCCAGAATTGACTTCAGAACTGATGGTACGTGGCCTTATTTATGCATGTATTTATTTTAATCCTGCTTAGACTCATCATGCTACAAGTCTTTGTTCACTCTCTTGCCTGTTTGATCCCAATCCAAATGTTTATGCTCATACTTAACTTTAAGTTGTCAACTCCTTAAAGCAAGACTCTGTCATCCTTAACGTCTGAAAGCTCCAGAGTGACTCTTCATGAATAATCCGCTGTGCTTCTCTCCATTACAGCTAGACCTGGGTTAGAAAGATACAGGGATGCCCTCAGTTCTTGCCTGTCAAGTTTTGTGCACTGCACGGGGGTCATACCAACGCACCTCTGCAGTGAGGATCTGAAGTAGCAGAAACAGAACTGGATTATATTAATCTTATTGTTATGGTTTCTCAACAAGAAAGTAGCTAATCACTGTGGTTCAGCCAGGCTGCAGAAGGGGCTTGTTGCATTTTAAAGCTATGAATGGTTATGTGATTGCCTTGTAACTCAGGCTAGAGGTTTAGCCTCTACTTACTTCATCTAGCCCATTTTCTGTAATTTAAGCGAGAATCTACTGAAATTGTAGTTTAGCTTTATTCTGCCTTTATGCTCACCCCTTCTGTACTTTTCCTTTTGTGTCATTTTTGTGAATTTGAGCTAACAAAAATGCTTGTCAGTTAGTACCCCCTCATTTGCAAATGAGGAAGCAAAGGCATGTGAAATTACTTCAGTAATTGTAGTTCATATGTGGCAGATCTGAGACTGTATAGTAGATTTTTTGATTCCCCTATGCTAAGCTTCAAGTGCTAAGAAAGAAACACTTGCAGGCTGAAGAGGAGGGAAACTTCACTGAATTAATCCAAGGTGCTTCTGTTGCTTATGTACTGGCACCCGTTGTCTTTGCTGTTTGGTTATATCTCGCTTTTCCTCCCAGAGTACCATGCGGATGCAGTTTTTCTTTTTGGATTTTAATTCTTCAACCTAAGGTCTTAAATCTCCAAAGATATTTGGGTTTCAAACTCATTTGATTTCATGAGGTGTCTAAATACTTTCCACTTTGGGCTTCTACTGTTGCCAAACTGTTTTCTCGATGTGATGTGAATTGTTTATATAATTGACCATAATCCCTTTTTTTTTCCTTCACTAAATAACTGTGGCTGAAAGGTGCTCTGAGATTATGATGCCTTAGAGATGCAATCCTGATCCTGCAGGAATCAAGGGAACCAGGATTTCACTCTGTAAGTTTAGCATACTAGCTTAATGATTAAATCAGCATTGTGTGTCTCAAGTGAAGAAAGCAGGCAGAAAAAAAACTGGTGGTACTTAGAGTGCTTTATGTGCTTCAAATTATTTTCCATACATTTAACTAATTACATAAGCAGATGATATTTACAGGGGACTTCTGGCTATAATTGACCTTCATCTTTTCCTGTGCACTTCCCAGCCTCTCCTTGAATTTTCCTATTGTTTCCTCTTAATCATTCCACATTTAACACCGTGTTTCAGGCAGTCCTTTTCTCTTGCTTGGGACCATCCTACCAATTCCACAGAGGCCAGTATTCCCAACTCCTTTGAACTTCTTCATCTCAGCCCCGTTTTCATGGCAATTTTGGAACTCATGGTGTGGACAAACATATCTCCTCCAAAGCCCAATCGTCAGGCCTCCCACCAGTTACAGCACGATTGCTCTTTTCCTTTTACGTGATCGTCAGTTCTTTGGAGCAGGAGTGTTTCTTTCCGTCTTTATCTTGTGTCATAAATTGCTTTTCAGAAGTTGCAGCAACGCAGTACACATTTAAGTATGTATATCTTATTTTTCTTTGAAACTTTTATATGCGTGTGTTGGGGCAAGCAGGGGAGGAATTGCATAAACTGTGAGTCTCCTGTCGAGAGGTTAGAGAAAACCCATGTTTAGAGCTCAACGGTGTTCCCATGGCTACTAGGACAGGTACATCACGGGAGGGGGAACACTTCTGGCATTTAACAGCCCTTCCAGGTGATTTATGGTTTCACATAAGCTTTTCCTAAACTGAGAGGTTTTCTAGGGTTGGCACCTCTTTGCTTGTCTCCATGCCCTGTTAGTTCTGTGTTCAGTGGCCCGTGGTTATTAAAATTCTTATCAATAAAGGAGTTTCTGAGCAAGGTTTTTATTTTCTGGGATCATGCATACCTTCTGAACTCCTCAGCTTAACCAAAGGAACATTTATTTTTTTTTTTTAATGCCTAATGTATTTTATAAAAGAAATGCGTAGAGTTCAAGTAATATTTGCCTTCAATTACAGTAATTAAGTTGTCAGGACTTGAAGTCACCAAGGGAATGAGAAAATCCTTTCCTGGTTGGCCAGGGGGTAATTGGTGTTCTGGTCACAAGCACGTTTTACATATTGGGGTGGGGAGGGAAACTGTTCTGGCTGGCATCCGCGGCAGAAAACCTGGGAGACTGTTTGTCATTTTGCAATACAAGGTGTCAAAATCCTGCTGCGGGTAGAAGGAAAAGGAAAAGAAAGTGACCTGTTTAACTCTGCTTCAGCAGGGCATCTGTTTTTGATCCGCGGTAACGCTGCTTGCTTGGGTTGTGAGCTATATCTTATTAAAAAGAGAGCAACTACAAACGTAGCTCAATCCATTTATTCTGTGGATTCTGTCTTGTCAAACTTCTACTGCGGCTCCCCTTTCGAATGTAACCTATATGTATAGCTGTGTGTAGATACCTGCTTTTTTTTCCCCCCAAGTTCAACATCTCTTTGCAGACTTCTTTGCCAAAAGTCAAATAGTTTCATAAACTTACCTGAAGCTACACTACAAGGTATTCCTACAAGAAAAGTTCCTAATTTTTATAAGTGCCCGCGCAAACATTACTGGAATCTCGAGTGTAGCATTACTTTCGTTCCACTGGAATAGCTCTCTTGAAAGCAGATGTATGAGGAAATCGCTGCTCGTAATGCATCACTAATGACACAAATTTTTGCATTCCTGCTCATGTGAGTAAAGGTTATGGATGCATAAGGAGTCAGACCTGCAAAACCTTACTCGCAAACCCTAATAAACCCCACTTCAGCTAGCGAGTTTAATGATGCCCTGAAGAGAGCCAGATCACTTATCTACACCATCATGCAATAACTGTAAAGTGTTGAGATAAGTGGTTTTATATCTCCCAGTTTTCTGCTGGCCTTCGCCCTGCGTATCAGTTTGTGCCAGTGAAAGTGGGCGTGAAATATTACTGCTCCGATTTGGTTGCATTTTGTAGTCACTTCAGTTCACATACATGATGCAAGGGTAGAGTGGATGCTCTTATCTGTCTGTGCATTTATGAATGGAAAAACAGTGAAGTATCTCTGTCATACTACATTTGACTGTAATAGCTGTGGATTACCTCCCGTTCAAGAAGCGTGTTGCAGGCCAGATGTTGGTAAGGATTCTGCACAGTTCTTACCTGCTCAGCTTTTCCCATCGAGGGGGCTGTGCTTGGTTACCTGCAGTTCGTACAAGGCTTTTAAAAAAAAAAAAAAAAAAAAAAATCAATGTAAAATTTGGGACACTTCCAAGAGTCATTTGTGACTTTTGCCAAGCAAAAGGATATGCCACAAGGGGTTATTTTTGAGTGCTTCAGTATCCATGTAAACAAGTCTGAACTTCAGCTGCCTTTTTGGCTTGTTTATTTTGTAAGTCACAGATAATTTACCGAGTTATGTATTTTCATCTTGTTGCATTTGTTGCTTTTTCAGAGTCAATTCTCTTCGTGCCGTACATAACATCCAGCTCCAGAGCTATACTTTGCTTTTTGTTTTATTCTAGATAATAGACCCTCTTTATAGATACTCACCTGCAGCTAGAGTTCAGCAGCTATTTATTTTGTGTATGCAGAAGCCTTGTAAGATCTAACCTGTGATGTTGTTTTTGCCATCTGATAACATATGATCAAATGGAGCATGTTTAAATAACAACATCTAGGACACAATGACAGTAAACCAGCTACGAAACAAACATTTCTAAAGATCAGATAAGATGGAAGAGAGGCATCAATGCTGGATTGCTCCGTATATCATAAGTTCTTGCACTTTGCCGTAGAGGTATTCCAGGCATGGGATTTCCTTTATGCCACAGGCTAATAGATCGTACTGTGTTATTTTTCATGTTGTTTTATATCTTGTAGAGACATGTGCCTTTGCAAAGTGAGTGTAATACTCCAAGTATGATAGTATTATACATAATCTGCATGAGTTGCACAGGAGTAGGTAAACAGTAAGAAATTCAAAACAACAGAGAATTGTCTTGTTCTGTATTTTCTTGCTGCCTTCCATACTGCCACCTCTCCTCCCTAAACCTACGCTATCTTTTGCATTAAGGGCTGCCTCTCACTTCTGCCAAAGTCTATACTTTCACAATTAATTTTCAAAACACCTTATGGTTTTTAAACGTTTTTCTTTTTTTTCTAGATGAGGCGCTTAGGGACATGGTTCAGTGGGCATGGTGGTGTTGGGTCGATGGTTGGACTCGATGATCTTAGAGGTCTTTTCCAACCTCAATGATTCTATGATTTTATGATTCTTATTAGTGTGCCAAAAAATAACGCTTTTCCAACCTCAATGATTCTATGTTTCTTATTAGTGTGCCAAAAAATAACATTATGTTTAAAGCCATGATTTCTGACTCTCACTCCTGCTCCTCTTTGTTCACCTGCAGGAGGATAATACCGTTCCCGAGTCTCAGGAAGAGAAGAAGAGAAACCGCTGGCTCTCTGAGCCTGCAGACGGTTACAATACAGTGAAGAGTGTTCTCACTGTACAGGAATATTTCGCAAAGCGCATGGCAAAACTGAAGGGATCCCAGAACAAAACAGAAACAGAGGTGGACAATTCCTGCCCAACAGCTGACGAAGCTTTGGAGCCTTCAGAAGAACTGAAAACCAAAGTCAAAAAGAAAAAGAAGAAGCAGAAGAGAGATGAGGCAGAGAGTACAGAGTATTGTGAGAAACCAAAAGTGAAACAATCTAAGATAGGTAGCTTGAACGGAAAGGAACTGGATGCTCCATTAAATGAGCGTCACTCAGGGAAAAAGAAAAGGAAACATAAAGAGCAGCACGAAGGGGAAAGCGTTACTTGTGATGAAAATATGGGCAATGGAGAAATTTACACGGGAATATCTGATGGGGAAGATCTCAGCAGAAAGGACTATGAGGCAAAGCAAAAGAAACGCCGTAAGAAGAAACACAAAAAGCAAAAAGAGGAGGCAGATGAGTGTATGGAAGGAGCGCAGAGAAAGAAAAAGAAGCACTGCAAGCACATTTAACCATTTAAGAGTCAAGCTGGCACTCTGAGGTGACTGGAACTTTAGCATGTTAGAGGAGAAGTGTGTGTAAACACACCAGCCAGGCATCACGTCGTAATCCAGTCTTGAGCACACCGCTCTACCTCCAACTGAAACCACAGACTGTGTTTCAATATAGCTCTTTCAAGGGAGAACATGCTGACAGGCCAACATGAGCTTCAGTGCCATGTTAAAAAGGTCTCCATGTGTAGGGCCGAGGCTTGCACGGCTGCAAAGCAAGAATTGATAAAAACAGTTAGGCTTTGCCTCTTCCAGTATGGCAGACGGCTCACCGTAGTGGCTTTGCAAGAGCTATGTTTTAACACAGCAGACCCTATGCTGCCTTCAGCCCAGATTCACTCTGGTGCAACTCCATTCAAGTCAGATAACAGCAAGCAAAATCAGGCCTGGTTTTAACTGCTGTGGTTAAGGCTGTGAAAGCCAGTGAATTACTATCTGCTGCTTCACACGGACTGCATTTTTCTCAATCCGGGGGGGGGAAAAAAGTCACCCTACCACTGCCTTTATTATTAAAGCCACTGTTGTTTTCACTTGTGATAGCCCAGCTCTGCTTCTAAAAACAGGAGGGGTTTTGCAAAGCTGTATGTCTTTTTCCATTGATATTTGCAGTCGTGTCTAATTTTTTCATTGATCTCCTTTTACATATAAAATGATTGTTGTTTCTTCGCAAAATACTTAGTCTAATTAAAGGTTCACACCTGAGTGTCAGTACTAAAGAATGAAATAAAAAAAACTCCCTTTGTTTCCTAGCCAGTAGTTAACTACTGTCAAGCAATTGTAACTTTGCAACAAAGCTAAAGGAATCATAGAATCATTAAGGTTGGAAAAGACCTCTAAGATCATCGAGTCCAACCGTCAAGTCCCTAAGCACCGCATCTACATGTCTTTTAAATCCTTCCAGGGATGGGGACTCCACCCCTTCCCGGGGCAGCCTGGTCCAATGTTTAACCACTCTTTCAGTAAAGACATTTTTCCTCACATCCAATAAACCTCCCCGTCCTATCGCTTGTTCCTTGGGAGAAGAGACCGACCCCCACCTCGCTACAACCTCCTTTCAGGGAGTTGTAGAGAGCGATGAGGTCTCCCCTCAGCCTCCTTTTCTCCAGGCTGAACAACCCCAGTGCCCTCAGGAGCTGTGCCTTTGTTAACCATACCTAAATCTTTGGTTCCCAGGCAACACTCACGGTACCTTCAGTGGTGCATCTGGAATTCAAAACGTTGTCTTGGATGGAGGAAGGTTTTCTGTGAAATTAGGAGACCAGATTTTAAAAGCATGGCTGGTCAGATGCATTAGTATTGCCATTTATACATTGAAAATCTGCAGTTTAGATTTACAACCAAATTAGAGCTTGTTTCTATTTGTAAACCTGGAAATAAGTAATGCTGGAACTCAGCACTACCACCAGCAGTTTTGTACGAGAGCTTAAACATTTGGGATGGATTTTGGCATCTCAATCTCACTCAGCTAAGTGCTGTCAGAAGAGATGGGTGAGCTTGGAAGTAAAAGTGGTGGAATGGGAAGAAGCATTCACCGTTCTCGAGTCTGGTTCTGGTACTGCTTTGGCCACAGCAAAATGAGAGCACAACCCTGAAAGCCAGCCGGTCATCATGGCATAATCCAGAGTAGCTGACCAGAATTCAAATCCATTAGCTGTTCGTTTGACTTTGGGCCTGGCTGTGTTTCATCGGTGTAAATCTAAAACATCCCATCGGCCTGCTCTGCTGAATAAAATGGGTGGGGTTTTTTATTGTCTTAGCTCAGTTGAGTTGCTTGACGTGGTTTGAAAAACATTGTCAAGACGCAGATGTTAATATGAAAAAATTCCTTAAGCTGCCTTTATTGTCCAGCGGGAGAAACTCAGTCTGCAGCACACAGTCCACATGGCTTCAGATGTTTCAGTTGCAGCTGAGCTCTTCCTTTTTAAGGTATCTTGGTTTGCAATGTTCCTTTCTTGCCCTCAGGACATGCTCATTCATTGCAGCAAAATTACTGTAGTTTTACTGTATTGCAAGGGAGAACAAGATGCCTTTCTCTGTGTTTCGCTGCTGGCATGCCTGTAGTTTTTAACCCATGTAGCATTTGCTTTTCGGTGCTATACAAATATTAGCCATCATGATGCTGCTATGGCTGGGCTTGTTCCCTGGCTTCCTTTAGCGAAATACCGCTTAATACCATGAGGTTGCTATAGAGTTGTGAGTAAGCTCCATGCTTGAGGTGAAGAAAATAATCTTCTCAATGGAAGAAGACAGCAAAATAATTTTTCATGTTATATTGAAGCATCCTAAGTTTTGTGGGTGCCCTTCAAAGCAGCCTTTCTAATTTCACCCCGAGTTTGGATTTTTGTTCGTTAGCAGAAGCCAAAAGCCTGGCTGTTTCCAATGTTTGGGTTTTTTTAACTCTTAAGCAGCTAAACTTTACAGTCTCGCCGAGATTTCAGTTTAAAAAGGTGCTAGTCAAGGAATATGGTTGCCTTCTCCAAATACTGCTGGGCTTGTTTGTTTGTTCTCTGTATTAATCTTCCACGAGTTTCTATGTGCTGATTCTTAGGAGTGTTTGGCCAGATTCCAGTGTTAGTTATAGACAGAATAAAACCAGGAATAAATCTTTAAATCTATGGTGTTACTACGATTAAGTACAGTATAAGTATTAAGTACAGGCTCTGAGCAACCTGCTCTAGTTGCAGATGTCCCTGCCCACGGCAGGGGGGTTGGACTAGATGACCTTTAGAGGTCCCTTCCCACCCAAACTATTCTGTGACTCTATACCTAAGATTTAAATCTGGCTCAGATTGAATTATCAGCTGCAAATAGAAGATTCTCTATTTGTACAAGAAGTGGTGGGAATTTCATTTTATCCCAGGAAATGTGGGATTTTGATATGCCTCAAACTCAAAGGGAAATAGCATGGCCAGAATATGGGTTGTGGGGGGAAAAAAAAATCATAACAGACTTAACATTTAAAACAAGCAATTTGTTTCGCTGCTCTGCTCCATGTGTGTGTTAGTGGTCAGCCAACTTTGCATTACTCGACAAAAAGCTCTTCTTACCAGATACTGTCTAGTGAAATGGATGATTGAAACAATAGGAACATGTTTCAAAGTAATAAATCAGGTTTTTTGTTTATAGAGGGTTGTGAGTCCAGTTTTAACCAAACTCTGGTTTGGCAAGAAGGTCTTTTTTAGAAAGCATAAGAAAAAGAATTACGTCATTGCCCAAATGGTGAAATTAGCAGAATGTAAGCACAAAGAAATTACGTGGTTTCATTTCTGTGAAAATAAGACTTTTAAACAGAAAGGTCTTGTGTTACATATTTGTCCATTGTACTCACACATTGCAGCACAAAATTATGTACCTCCAAGTGAAATTACCGAGAAACTAAGCAAAATGAAGAGTCGCCAGTCTGCTTTCGCTTCCAAATCGAGGACGATGCACACGCAGCCTAGATATCAAAATGTTTTCAGTTTTAGTAATCCCAGGTCACCAGTGACACGGAAGAAAACTTTCCTTTTCCCATTGGGAGCCTTACGCAGATGATGGTTTCTCGTGAGTTACTGCCGTTCTGCGCAGGTATAGTGGTGTTCTTCGCTCTGAGCCTTGAAATCAACTGTCGGTGCAAAGGCTGCTGCATGCCAAGCTACGTGATTCGCAATTGCAGTTTTGTGAACAGCAGCATATATGCTGACTTTTGTGCTTGTAATTACCTGCAAGCACCAAACCGTATCCTGGAAGGTAGAGGCCACGGAAAAGTAGCCTGTTACCAGCATCGGACCAAAGTCTGCGTGAGCTGTATGGGCTTCAACTGTTTCGATCTTGCTGCGCCCGACTCTGCAGTGCCTTCCTTCGAGCCAAGGACGGGAGATTGCGCTGGTGCACGCTGCGTGGCAACCCAGATGTGTGGAACAGGCACCGCTCCTTGAATTTCTTTCCAAGATGTACTAGCTCTAGTGCTTTACACACGACCAGGGTAAAGCAGAAGTAACAACCAGGGTTACTTCAAAGCATAGATGCGTGATACTGTTAAGTACAAGTTTCAAGACAAGCCGTTAGGATTGCAGAACCCCGTATCCTTACGTCTGTGTGAATTTCATTCCATTAGATAGTATCTGAGACGCAGCTGCTTTGTGAAACTTAAGAAATGCACTTGGGGACCCATCCAGTTCAGCGTCGTGTGCAATTAATGCAATTTTCCTTTAAGCAAAAGGTAGTTCTGGTGCTGACTTCTTTCAAATAATCGGCTCTCGGCAAAGAAAATTAGCTGAATGCACCAATGTAATTAACCAATTTTCTCCTGTTTAAACACACGAGGTTGAAGTTCTTGAAGCATCCACCTTCAAAAGGCACAATTTACGTCACGAAACCTCCAAACCTGCCAGCACTAAGAGGGAGGAAGGAAGCTCCAAGAAGAAAGGAAAACCACACGAAGTCTATTGGAAACACTGCATAGCATCACGCCTATCTTAAAAAAAGATCTCACAAGAGCGTGTCCTCCAACGGCGTGAGGGTTGCTAGCATCTGAAGCAGTCCTTTGCTTAATTCCTCCTCGTTCCTGGGCAGTATGAGGTTTGCTGTGTGAAGGGTTATAAATCTCAGCCGCACGGTGTTAGTGGCCAAGGAACCCCCAGGAAGGATCAGAGCTCGGAGGACTTGGACGGTAACCAAGGCTGTTGTCTCCGTACCTGTCTCATGCAGGGATAAGCCAACGTTTAGTGATGTGGGACTGGCGAATACGGTAAAAATAAAAAACTTGCGTGGTGGCAGAAGTGGGGAGATTGTTCCAAGGCCAAACTGAAGCTCGGTTTCTCAGCAAGTGAGAACTTAAATTCTGCTTCTGAGTCACTCAAAGATACTTCTTTTTCTTACTTTAATCCATTTTTATAAATTTCAAAGTGTAAGAGGGAAATTTTGCTGGTCCCTTTTAACCTAAAGGGACTAAAATATATTTATTTTGTAACTGTTAAAGCTGCTTTTTAAAAATAGCAAGAGCAGAAACATTCAGCACCATGACTCTGTGCGTGCTGAAAATTTTAGCTTTTTTTTTTTCTTTGTGTGTCTACATTTTTCGCTGTGGGGTGGATAAGGGGAAAGCTCTGGTTTCTCCTCCTAGCAAACAAATGGTCCCGGTAGCGGTCCCTGGGGAAGGCCTGGTGGACCTGGGGAGGACGGGTGGTGGGCAGGGTTGGTTCTCTTCTGCCTCGGTGGCAAAGCAGCTGGGAGCTGCACGGGCTGAGAGCCGGCTCTTCTGCTGGGAACCCCCAGCTGCCTCTGCCAAAACTGCCCTTGGGAGACAAGAGTTTCATCAATAATTAAGGAACATGTGAATATTGAGCTAATTTAGGATTTAGTGTATGGATCGGGGGGGGGAGGGGGGGGGGGGGGGGAGGTTACTTGGTGAAAATGGACCCGCCGTTTGCAAGCCGAGTAAAACGCCAGACGTCGGATCCACGCCAAAAAGGGGTGTTCTTAAAGAGTGGGGGTGGTCCCCCCCGCCCCCCGCGAAAGCCGGCTTCAGTCACGGATGTTCTGCTTGACCCACGGGAGTTGCTGCCACTGTTCCCCATCCGTGAAAATGGGGAGAACAAAGCTTTCTTCCAGCCTTTGTCTGCTCGGTCTCTTCTAGCTTGTAGCTTTTAGCCGTAATTTCCCTGCTCTCAAAGCCCTGGGAGAGCTCTGCTTCTTCCTGTGCCCCAGATACAGGTAAGCGTTGCACCAGAATCGGGAAGGTAAGCATAAAAAGTAAAGATGAGTTTTTCCAGACTGCTGCTAATTACCCTGATACGGTCGCAATTAAAAGGTGGCATTTTCACATGGCCCCAGCTGCCTTTATGTAATGCAGAACTTCCTCCAGGACAGGTTTAACCAGCATTTTAGGTAGGGTGCAGAATGAAACCCATCTTACTAATGCAATCAGAACGCCAGGTGCTAAAGGAGAGGGGGAGAGAAAAACAAAAAAAGTTTATTATTGTTTGCCCTCAAAATGCGGCGCGGGGGCCCCTAGGAAGGTGCTGTTTTCCAGCCTGGGAGAAAATCCAAACGAGAAATTATTTTGCAGTATTTTTGTCCCACAGCCGCACGGGAGTCCCAGCGCGCGTCTCGGGGCGGGGGGGGGCGATTCTGCAAAGCCACGGGAGTTTACCCCTGCAATACCTGGGGGAGATCAAACGCTGTTACCCCCCACGACGTGGAGGGAATAGCAAAGACCAGGAGTTGCTCCGAGAGCCTCCAGGCATCTGCGGCGGAGGCAGGAGGTAGATGCAAAGTCCCGTCCCTGCTCGGCGCTTTATCCTCGCCCAGACCTTTCCTCCCGTCCTGCACGCCGCGCCTGGGAAACGCGGTGCGGGATGGAGGCACTGCCGCGTGTCGTGTAAAAGGGCTCGAGTGGAATTCATCTCTTCCTTTTCTTTTCCTTTGAGGGGAGGTATTCCACTACTACTACTAAAAATTTTTCTGGCCTCCAGGGCCTCAAGTAGAGAGGCCATTATTTTTATAATAGCGACGATATCCAGGCCCTGTGCATCCTGAGGGTTAAAAAATAACACTGAGCCGTGTAACACCATATTCAAAATAAAACCTTGCAACTTTGGCCAGTCTCTTTTTCAGTGCACTTCAACCCCTACTAAAGGGAAATCAAAAAAAAAAAAAAAAAAAAAAGAGGATGTTACGGGTTTTCGTCCCAACCTCTTGCTGCCAACCTCTGCAGCAACTCCCGTCTGCAAAATGCACCCAGGAGACCTGTCCAGAGCGGGACGGAGGGTTTGGCATCCTCTCTCCCTGCCCTGTCCTGCCACTTCAAGGCGGGAGACAGGACTTTGGGAGAGAACCGGAGCCCGCTGTGCAAAGCCTGGGACGGCACGGGCCGTCCCCAGGAGCGTGCGTGGCTCCAAAACACAGATGAAAGGCAGTTGCTATGCACCGGCCTGCATGTGTGTGTGTGTGTGTAAAGGGTTTATAAATCTGTCCTGAGACCAGGAAATCTCCTGCGCCTTTTAGATTTAAGAGAAGTTGCCTTCCTGTTGTATTCCCAGATACGCAGCTCTGATCAAGCCCACTTGTAAATAGCTTAATAGATTTAATCAGTTCCTTTGGAAAATGTTGTTGCTTCCGCAGGGTTTTAATTCGGTCCCGGGGAAAAGCTCAGAAAGGGCAGTTGCTGCTTCTGCTGCAAGCGAAGTCGGCGGCTGCCACCTCTCCGGACCCCCAAATCGCCGTAACCCACGAGAAAACAGACCCGCAGCCATCCCGCTCCTGTGCAAAGGAAGGGGAGAGACCAGGAAACCCAGGCGGATCCTGAACCCGCATAGCTTACGTTTACATACCGCGCTCTCCATCGCTTGTAATCTGACAAGAGTCAATAGGAACACCCAGGCACGTGGTAAATCTCTGCCTACCTGCACAAACACCCCGGCTTGGGATCCGCGCTGGGTTTTTCCCCTCCGTGCACGGGTTAGACGGGGCAGCGGCCAGCCGGCCCGAGGAAATGCCTTCCCATCTCGTGCCCCAGCCCACCGGCTTTCTGGCAGCGCGGAGAGGAAATCCACAATCAGTCAAAGCGGAGCCGCTGCAGCCCTGCAGCCCATGTCAGGGGGTCAGAATCATAAAGGAATCGAGCGTCTAAATATATTCCTCGGGGCAGGTTGCAGGGATGAGCTGGGCAAGGGGGTCCGGCTGGGGATTTTTGGTTCCGTCCCCTTCTTGGAGATCCTTCGTCCTAGCTGGGGGAACGCTTTTCGGGGGAGACTTTCCTGCCCTCGTGAGCACCAAACTGGGCTTAGTGGGAAATATCGTTGCGGGACAGTGGTGCTTCTGTCCCAGCCGGCCTGGGGTGGCTTTGCAGGATGGGGCAGCGCTCCATAAAACGTAGCAGCAAGAAAAAGGCCACAAAGCATCAGACCAGCCCTTTCCCTCCTAATGCCCCAGGGATGGGCAGCGGGGACCGACTGGGGATGTTGCAGCCCCTCCGGGCTGTGCCCAGCCCCATCCCTGCACCGTGTGGCCCCTGCAAAGCTCGCTCAAGAGCCCAACCAGGCTGGACAAGCACCCGCCAGCAGGTTCACTGGGTCCCAGTTTCCCTCCCGTACAAGGGGACCTGGGAATTTGGGGTAACTGGGTGCAAACCCGCCCGGGGTAGCAAAGTACAGCCAGGACTAGTGGTTAAAGCAGGGGGTGTGGGGGGAAAGGGGTACCTGCCTGCAGGACCCGTGCCTTGGCTTCCCCTTGTGAACAGGCACGCTGCAGCTTGCCAAAGCCTGGGGAGGGGGCTGGAGGGGACCTTTTGCACCCCTATGGGGACCTTCTGTTTGGGGCCCTTTTCCTTTTCTTTCCAGGCCACCCCCAAAAATCTCAGTGCCCTCATCCCTCCTCTCTGCATTTCCCCCAGCCTTGAAGTTTTAGGGGCTCTGAGGTGCG